TGCTATATTTCTAACTCAAAAGTTCATATAATGTAGGGATTATATATTGACTCAAATGATCTTTTTGTTTATTTCATTTCACTTTAAAGTTAAGGCCAAAATCACCACCTCTTTCTTTGAGAATAAGAAAGAATTCACTCTATTAACAAATTAATTTTAAATTTAAAAAAAAATAAAAAAATATATATACTCAAGCTTTACTGTTATAACTTAACAGGTTATTGATGTTATGGCTTTAATGGGGTTGCTGTTATGGCTTTACTGTAATGAGCATTGCTGTTACAGCTTTAATGGATGTTGCTGTTACAGCTTTCTGTAATGGGCGTTGCTGTTATGGCATTGCTGTTACGGCTTTACTGTTACAGATCAACCTAATTGTAATCAAGTTTCAACAAGATTTCAAACACCACAACTTCAAACACACAAGACTACTAACACCACAGCTTTCAACACACAAATTACAACACAAACTTTCAACAAAGATAGCTCAAATTAAACGAATGTCAAGGTATTTTTAAATAGATTTTTTTTTTTTTTTGCCGATCCGCAATCTTTTTTTTAGGTCTAAAAAGTATTTATAGGACCCGGGTGGATCGGGCCATGATCATAAATTGTCGGATAACACCATTATTCGGCAAATTACCGTTATTCGCCCAATAATGTATACTTATTACTTTGTTTATTATGCAACAAGCAGGATGATATATCTTCTCTTTATTAGTTTGGGCATTATATTTATATATTTTACTTTCGAAGAGATTTCAAACCCTCACTGTGGGTTTAATCCCTCTCTGGAGGTTTTAATCCCTCAAACTCCCATTACGATAAATGTAGTCACAGATCTAATCTTATTATGGAAAAATGCAATAACAATGAGGTTAAGGCGTAACATCGGTCCCGGTCTTTACGAAGACCGATCCATCCTTAATTCGAGCATAGACAACTTTATTAAAAAAAAAAAAAAATTCCTTGCCATTTGAAAATTAGAAACGTTGTAGTTGATTATCTCAGAAGACAGTACAAATTTATTTGAAAGTTGGAGCCAAGCTTCTCAATTTATTATCTTCAACCAATAATTATCTTAAACCTTATCTAAATACTTAGCACAAATTGATTTCAAATTCGAGGCTGAACATCTCAATTTATTCTTTTCTTCTTCACTCAACGAAACATCAATTACTTTTTCAATACCTTGACTTCCCAATACGACGGGCATACTAAATGCACAGTCGTATTCTTTAATATAAGTACTCAACGGTCTTACATGTTTCTGATTCAATACAATACACTGAACCAACATGGACACACATCCAGCAATTCCGAAATAAGTCGCACCTTTAAGTTCGATAATTTTGTAGGCTTTACTCGCAATTTCTTTAGCAACAGCATCTTTATCTAAATTTTGCACTTCGGGAAAGTCCAACAAACGCTTGCCTCCAACATGTGCAGAAGACCATGCAATAATCTGCGAATCACCATGTTCGCCTAAAACATAGCTGTGAATTGCATTCTCTGCGATCTATTGCGTAACAATTTAGTAATCAATTTATCAAATTTATATATTAAACTGTCAAACAC